TGCAAGCCTGCCCTCTGGTCGTCAGCACACAGCCCCTCTCCCTCTCTGGGTCTAGAGCAGGACTCATTTTTTAAAAAAAAGAATATTATACTGTTTAGAGCAAGGTCAAGTGGAATTGACAGCAGACGTTAGTCATCCCCAAGACAGAACTGACAATCGGTGTCAGCCCTCCTTGTCTTTTCCTTCATTTGTCTTCATCATAAAATGACTCCATCATTGGTTCTTGATCATGGAAATCACAGTGGAAACTTTGAAGCCAAGGTTTTAGGAACAGACTAAAGGACAGTTGATTAAAAGGACACATACCAAATGCTAAAGCTCAATTTCATTCTACTGGACAAGGTTGCATCCGATATTAGATCAGGAAATGGAACATGATGGTGAACAGTTAAAGTATTCCTTGACAGTTGAGTGTAATTATTTTAGTACAATGGTGGTGGTGGTTGTGTGCTGTGGAGTCGTTTCCAACTCATAACGACCCTGCTGCATAGGGTTTCTGAGGCTGTAAAGCTTTACGGGAGCAGAAAGCCTCATCTTTCTCCCACGGAACAGCTGGTAGTTTCGAACTGCTGACCTTGAGGTTAGAAGCACAACTCATAACCACTACGCTACCAGAACACAAATGGATATCCATAGTTTCCCATCTGTAGAAGTGAATGCTAACCAAACATGTCAGTGCTAACCAATCATTCATGGTGATCACTCTAATATGGTGGCATTTGGGATGTTTGTAAATATTATAGAAGCGGGTAGAAGAGCCAGGATTCTTGTTCAGAAACTTGTGAATCATGCATGGAGACTCCAGATTTGTTTCTTCTACCACAAAAGCACAGTGAAGAAGACATTTGTCAATGATACTGCATGAAATGACACGTACTCCCTGAGACATGGTGGAAATAAAACAGATGACTTATCAAGGAGTTTCTAATCAGAGAGAGAGCTTTTATCAAAATCGTTTTTTTTTTAGTGCCTTGCTGTATGTATGTGTGTATGTATCACATACAAGCTTGGTAGATTTTGACAGAACAAGGATTCAGTTCTTACTTAAGTGAAATCTTTCAAATACTTAATCAAATAATGCAGATTTTATACATTTAGTACCATTCCTTATCCCCCAGGACATTGTATAGAATATTGCCAGTAGTGGTTTCCCACTTGTCCATTATTACTGGAATTACATCAAGTTCCAGAGAAGCACACTTATACATCTATTTTGAGAAGTTAATGAGTCACCTCTAAAGCACATCTGGAACCTCTGTGTATAGTAACACAGACAACTGAAGTTTCTTTTGAGTGCTGGTGAGTTGATTCGGATTCATATCCACCTTCTGGGACTGAGTCAAACTGCCCCATATGGTTTCCAACACGGTGATCTTTCCAGAACTGACTGTCTCACCTGTCTTATGCAGAGTAGCTAGTAGGTTTGAACTAACAACCTTTCACTTTGCAGCCCAATGTGTAAGGATTGTCCCAGGTTCCCTAAGCTGCCTCAAGCTGCAAACACACCCACAGACCCCAAGTGGCAAGTCATCAGGAGCCCCGCCTGCTACCCAGAAGGTTCTACCTGTTTTCTCAGGAACAGCCACCTCCCTCCCTCCCACACTCGCTAGCTTGTTTGATGTTTTGAGTAGAAATCAACTGTGGTTTTTACTTCCAAGGTTACAGTGATTGCAACTTACCCTTTTCTCTCCAAGGTTCTACACAAAAAAACTGGTCATTGGACCTTGTGTGGCACTGTAGAATAAGTGCTGGACCACGAGGTCAGTTTGAACCACAAGGCCAGCTGTTCAAACTCACCAACCACTCCTCAGAAATCCTATACAGGGTCACTGTGAGTCACAACCAACTCAGGTGGCACCAAGAAGCAGCAACAACATGCCTAGAAATGGTTAATTGTTGTTAAGTACCATCAGCTTGGGTCCTATTCATTTGTTGGTAGGTGTCATCAAGTTGGTTATCAACTCATAGTGACCCTATGCAAAACAAAACAAAACCATTCCCGGTCCTGGACCAGCCTCACACTCGTTGCTGTACCAGAGCCCTTTGCTGCTGCCATTGTACCAGCCCATCTTGTTGAGGGTCTTCCTCTTTCTCTCCAACTCTGCACTTTACAAAACATGATGTCCTTCTCCAAGGACTGGTCTCTCCTAATAATATGCCTGAAGTATGAGAGACAAAGTCTGGCCATCCTGGTTTCTAAGGTGCACTCTGGTTGTACTTCTTCCAACACAGATTGGTTTGTTCTTTTGGCAGCCCATGGTATTTTTAATATTCTCCTCCAACACCGTAAGTCAAATGCATCAATTCTTCTATGGTCTTTCTTATTCACTGTGCAACTTTCGCATGCATGTGAGGTTATTGAAAATACCATGATTTGGGTCTGCCCACCTTAGTCCTCAAACTGACATCTTTGCTCTTAAACACTTTAAAGAGGTCTTGTGCAGCAGATTTGCCTAATGCAATACAACATCTGATTTCTTAACAGCTGCTTCCATGAGTATTGATGGTTGATCCAAGCAAAGTGAAGTCTTAGAAAAATTTCAATCTTATTTCCATTTATATGGATGTAGTTTTTTGGTCCAGTGGTGAGGATTTTTGTTTTCTGTGCATTGAGATGCAACCCATGTCAAAGGCTATTGTCTTTGATATTCATCAGTAAGTACTTTAAGTCCTCTTCATTTTTAGCAAACAAGGTTGTATTATCTTCATTTTGCAGGTTGCTACTGAGTCTTATTTCACTCAATCTTGATGCCACTTTTTTCTTCATATAATCCATCTTCTCTCATTATTTGCTCAGCATACAGATTGAATAAGTGGTGAAAGAATCCAACCCTGTTGCACACTTTTCCTAATTTTAAAACCGTTCAGTGTTCCCATGCTCTGTTTGAACAACTGCCTCTTGGTCTAGGTACAGATTCCTCATGTGCACAATTAAGTTTTCCGGAATACTCATTCTTTGCAATGTTGTCCATGGCTTATCATGATCCACACAATCGAAAGCCTTTGCATAGTCAATAAAGCACAGGTAAACATCTTTCTGGTATTCTCTGCTTCAACCAAGATCCATCAGACATCAGCAATGATATCCCTCATTCCATATCCTCTTCTGAATCTGGCTTAAACCTCTAGAAGTTCACTATCAATGTGTGGTTGAGCCGTTTTTGTATTGTCTTCAGTAAAACTTTACTTTCATGGGATATCAGTGATATTGTCCAGTGATTTCTGTATTCCATTTTGTCACCTCTGTTTGAAATGGGCAAAAATATGGTTCTCTTCCAGATAAGTGGCCGGGTAGTTTGCTTCCAAATTTCGTGACATAGTTGAGTTGAGTGCCTCCAATGCTGCATCAGTTTGTTGAAAGATTTCAGTTTGTCTTCCATCTATTCCAGGCGTCTTGTTCTTTGACAGTGCCTTCAATGGACCTTGAACTTCTTCTTTCAGGATCACTGACTCTTGATCATATGCTACCTCTTGAATGGTTGAACATTAACCATTTCTTTTTGGTACAGGGACTCTGTATATTCCTTCCATCATCTTTTAATATTTGCATCATTCAATATTTTGCCCATAGTCTTACTCATAGACATCTTTTATAGGGTTTCTGAGGAGTTGCTGGTGGGTTTGAACTGCCTACCTTGCAGTAAGCAGGGCCTCCAGAAATGGCTAGAAGGGAACTCAGTTTTGTTCACTATCAAATTATGGTTTTCTTCCACATGCCCTTTTTTCTAATGAATGTGAGTGGATCTGAGGGATGAGGGTGATGATGACAGACAGAGCACCTGGTGGGCAGGAAGAGGGATGTAAGTGTGGAAATCTACATTTGATTCCCATGCAGTGTATCTTTGTACCTATTGATGGGGAAAAAGAAAATATGAATAATAAACAGAAAATAAAACTATGAATAGAACAAATCAAAAGTCAAAATGAGTTTCCTTTTAAAGAGTAACATAATGATGTTGTGAAGTGCTATCTGGTCCTTCGTCCATTCAGTTCTGACTCAGGGTTTCCAAGGTGTGGTTGGTGAGTTTTCATTTTCAACATTTTGGTTAGCAGTCAGTACTTATCCTGCAGCAGCACACCAGGACTCCAACATAATTACAGAGATGTTGTTGTTGTTGTTGTTGTTGTTAAGTGCTGTCGAGTCGAGTCTGACCCATAGTGATCCTGTATAGGGCTTCCAAGGAGCAACTGATGAATTTGAACCGCCAACCTTGTGGTGCAAACCGACATTGTAGTCCTGCACTTATCCTATGGCACCACACCAGCATCTATATACCAGACTGCTATGTGTAAATGTATATATGTGCATATATAGGGCTTCTGGTATGACACTAGGTCTGCAAGGTCAGTTCGAACCACAGGGTTGGCTGTTCAAGCTCACCAGCTGCTCCTCAGAAACCCTATACTGGATCACTATAGGCACTTAACAACAACGTATGTATATGTTTGTGTGTGCCTATACATGTGTGTGTGTGTGTAAATATATATATATATATATATACATATACATATACATATACATATATTGCTGTTAATTGCCATCGAGTCAGTTCTGAGTCATAATGACTCTGTCTAGGGTTTCTGAGGAGCTACCAGTGGGTTTGAATTCCTGACCTGGTGGTTAGCAGTGCTGTCTTTGTTCTACAGTGCCACACCAGAATTCCAAATATAAATATATATGTGGGGGGGGGATTAATAGTCATAGTCAAGTAAGTATCTCAAGAATTTTTACTAATGAAAATTGTACGCAAAGAGAATCAGATGGATAACCATATGCTTTTTTTTGAGAGTCTGAATTATTTGAGATTCTGAATGATTTTACTTCATATGGCCTTTCCCAGCATTTGAAAATGGCAAATTTATATTTGTCCTTTAAGTATTTTCACCTGTTTGAAAAGTAAAATTCTTCTGTGATAGATCTTTCCTGAAAAATGTATTATTTTCTTTGCAAAACAAATGGACTTTCCGTAGACACAATAAAGTGTTATGCTACATTACAGCCTCACTGTTAGGAATGAAGAAAGAGGGGACGGTGCGGGAAGGCCTACACTGACCACCAAGATGGAGAGCGTGCAGGTCATTGAGGAATGGTAAGTGTGGAGCCCATGGCATGCTGTGTGTGTTTGTGGTGGGTCTGGATACTACTGAGATGGTGTTTGCATGCTCCTTGCATCGTCTGAGTGCTTAACTCTTATCTGCTGCTTCCTAATTCTCCACAAAATGGGGTGGATCTTGTGATGTGAATGCCAACTCAATCTGGCAGATCTTGTTCTGGGATCATAGCGCCTCCTACACAGAGGCTCCGCCTGTGAACTCAGATCACGTGGCTTCTGTCTTTAAAGTTTCTAATTTCCCCTTTGTAATTTCCAAGTCTCTTGTACAGAGATCTGCGGAAACAATGCCAATGTCCTGCTTCCCAGAGTTTCACCCTCGAGTTTTTGCGTCCTGTTATCAATCTTGTCTGAAACAGCTATTGCAAAGGCGGTTGCTAATAGTGATATTTCTAATCCCATCATCCTTTCTCCATTTATTAACATTCTGATCTAATAAAGAGCTTCCCGTTGTCCCCCATTTTAGTTCTTGTCTTTTTATTAATTTTTATCAGCATGGACTCATGGATTGTTTTTCTTCTGTAGAGTTATAATCTATTCCCATTGTTGTTTTCACTCTCAAAGTCAGATTTGGCTGGGAGCCCTTTTCACATTTCCCTTCACTCCTTGAGCTTTTTGACACAAAAAGATATTCTGGAAATCCTCTTGTATTTTCCAAGGCCCAGCCCTGTAGCAATTCATTTCATCAAGGCTTTTGTTGTTGTTAAGTGCCATGGAGTCGGTTCCAACCCATAGCAACCCTTTATAGGGTTTCCAAGGAGCAGCTGGTGAGCTTGAACTGCCAACCTTGTGGCTCAAACCGACTGCAGTCCAGCGCATTAACCCACAGCACCACAAGGCTAGCTGTTTCTTTTTATGGAGAATTGTATTTAGCAACCAAGATCTGAGCACTAGTAAACTTACTGTTCTTTCGGGCTCTTTGCTCCTAGGCCCTCTCAGTGTACAGAATGCACATGCAGACATCGATTTCTGAAGCTATCCATATTCAAAGCCCTGAGTTCGTAGTGATCCCTCCAAGTCCAGCCCTAAACCTGAGTGCTTTGTATTCTCCCCGCTTCTCATCTGAGTGGCTCTCCTCTACAGGGAGAAACCGGTCTGTCATACCCAGAATCCTTACATATTGATCAAGCCTAGAACACAAAAGAGATAGTTTCGCAGTTGTTAACCCCTGTCGTTATTCTAACAAACCTACTCACTAGGGTTCTATCCCTGTTGTGCGGTTTTTGGTGTGGTTTTTTTCGTTTTGTTTTCCTCCTCAGCTTGAGGAAAAATAGGTTAGAAGCTAACTAGGTGATACCACCTTTCAGTGATGTTTCTGTTACTTATTTCACATTCTCTTTTTGTGGATTGTTGTTGTTGTTGTTAAATGCCACTGAGTCAACTACAACTCACAATGACCCTCTATAAGGTTTCTGAGGCCGTGAATATACACGGGAACAGAAGGTATCATCTTTCTCTTAAGAAGAAGCTGGTGGATTTGAACAACCAACCTTGTGGTTCTTAGTCCAGTGTGTAGCCTGCAGAACCACTGCACTCCCCATGGGTTTATTTGGATGCATTCCATTTGGCTTGTTTCTTCTCCATCCTTTTGACTTGGATGCATTATTATTTTGTTGTTGTTGAGTGCCATCAAGTCAGTTCTGACTCATACCGAGCGACTCTGTGTAGGGTTTCTAAGAAGCAGCTGATTGGTTTGAACTGCTGGCCTTGGGGTCCGCATTCCAGTATTTTTCCCATAGTGCCACAGTGATATGACATAATACAATGAAATCTGTCAGCCCTCAAATTCGATGGGTCTGCCTTGTTTCTCCTCATCTTGCAAGTTTCCCACCTGTGGCAGGGCAGAAAACTTTTCTATCAGTCTTTCTAGTGGGAAATGTTTGTGTTTTCCTTCTCTGATAGGGTTCTTGCAGGTTTTACTGTATAAATAGTTTCAGAAGTCTGAAGAGCACAGTCAAGTATACTCATCTCAGAGAATGAGCCTTGGCTTGCATTTTAAGAATTTATCATTTGCTGTCGTTTATTCACGTTGAAAAGTTTAATGCCACTATCATTTTAAAATCTTGAAAATCCACCTCAAGAATATCAGTAATTATTCAGCGTCCTATGGAGTGGATGTGCGTTGATAACTGTGTTTGTAATGGCCTGATTTTAGCTGCCCTCCCAATGTAAAAACATAGCTTTTACTAGCTGGAGAGATACGTTATTAGCAGGAAATTATTTCGAAAACAAAACTCAGAAGGGCTGTGTAGCCTGACCAATGCCTCACAGCTTGTCTTCAATTTAACACTACCAGGTGGACCTTCTTACATTTACAGTCCCAGAAACTTCCACCTGGCCACCTAGTTGCTGCCTGAAAAAAAACTGTTCAATTACCACTAAGATGCAAATGGTGGTAAATGTTAATTTGTTACAGAGCCCACAGATATTTGTAACTCTCACTGGGGCAATCCTATAATTTGAGAGTTGACTTTTATAATGGTGGCAGTGGCAGGTGAGGGGGAGGAGGAGTCAAGCAGAGGCTTATGATGGGGAGGAGCTTAGGAATCATTTAAATCATTCCACAAGGACACTCTCTAGCCTACAAATCCAGACTAGGTGGCAAAATCTTGACCACTAGATGGCAGCATTGCATAGCATTCTAGCTCTTGGTGTAGCATTTCACACGATCTTTGATAACTTCCTAATTTTTTCCTCTGCAGCCAAAACCCCACTGCTGATGAAGTCTTGTCCTGGTCTCAAAATTTTGACAAGATGATGAAGACACCAGCAGGAAGAAACCTTTTCAGAGAGTTTCTCCGAACAGAATACAGTGAAGAGAATCTCCTCTTCTGGCTTGCATGTGAAGATTTAAAGAAAGAGCAGAACAAAACAGTTATTGAAGAAAAGGCCAGGATAATATATGAAGATTACATTTCTATACTGTCACCAAAAGAGGTAAAGCCCAAGAAAACATTGAGACCTTGTTGTTATTGTTAGGTGCCTTCCAGCTGGTTCTGACTCTTAGCCACCTGATGTATACAGAATGAAATTCTACCGATCAACCTTCATTCTCACAATAGTTTAGCTTAAGCCCAATTCTTCTACCGTCTTCCTTATTCACTGCCCAACTTTCACACACATAGGAGGTCATTGAAAACACCATGGCCTGGGTCAGGCACACCTTAGTCCTCAAACTGGCATCTTTGCTCTTCAATACTTTAAAGAGCCCTTGTACCGCAGATTTACCTAATGCAATACATCCTTTGATTTCACAACTGCTGCTTCCATGAGTGTTGATTGTGAAGGCAAGCAAAATGAAATCAACTTCAATCCTTTCTCCATTTTCTTGATGTTATTGATTGGCCCAGTGGTGAGGATGTTTGTGTTCTTACATTGAGGTGCAACCCATACTGAAGGCTGTGGACTTTGATCTCCAGCTGAAGATCTAGGATGTCCTTAAAGGGACTGGTGTCAGAATTGCATTGTGCAGGGGCATGGGCAGGTTCTAAGATTTTGTTGTTGTTAAGTAAGTGCCTTAGAGTCATTTTGGACTTACAGCCACACTGTATAGGGTTTTGAGAAGTGATTGGTGAGTTTGAACTGCTGACCTTGTGGTTCAAACTGACGTTACAGTCCAGGTCTTTATCCTAAAGTGGCACACTGGGACTCCACTATTACTGGTGATATTATTTCCACTTCCATTTGGGGGATACCCCTGAATATTGGGGCAACAAATGTGTGAGAGGTGAGTTTCCCCACTGTGCTTGGCCCTGTGTCTCTGGATGAACTGAGTGGAAACCCACTTGCTTTTCAGATGCTTGATTAAGAGTGTGTGTGGGGGGGAGAAAGAGTCCCCACTGAATAATTTTCATCTTGTCTAGATGGGGCTGGTTAAAGAGATGGGGATGAGATTCTTATGATTCAATAGTGGCCCTGTGTCTCTGGATGAACTGAGTGGAAACCCACTTGCTTTTCAGATGCTTCATTAAAGCTCAGCTTGCTATTACTACAACTTTCGAGCAGTATTTCCCAAAGCAGTGTTCCTCGGATCACCTGTTGGAGACTACCCAGAATACTTGTGTAAATAGCAAGTTCTTGGGACCTTCCCAGTACTTGTTAATTGTTGGGAACAAATTCCAGGCATGTGCATTTTTAACATACTTTCATATCCAAACCAGTTGGAAAACCTCTGTGGCAGACACACCCGCCCATGGCCCTACCTCCACGTTCCCCTGCCCTGTCCATGTGCTGCTGCTTCACAGAACTAAAGAATGGACCCTTATGACCCATTGCTATTCCTGAGGGAAGGGTTGGGGATGGTACATTTTGGGAACAATGATGTGGAAAGAATCCTAAAGTCCACCAACCATGATTGTTTGGTCTCTGTTGCATATGATTTCAGTAATCGCCAGAACTGTTTGTGGCATCAGATTTTCACCCTAAATTTCCTTCCAGTGGCCTTCAGGGGAAGAAGAGTAATCAATATTTAAGCACACCTGAATGCCCTAAAAAGAATGCTGGTGTGACGAGATGTGGATGCTGGGGCCTGCTGACACACAGGTGTTTTCCAGCAAAATTACGTGGACTTAGCCACTGATTTCAGTCAGTGTTGCTAACTGTAACTCTTTTGACTGTATCCTCCTGGATTCATTTCTTCATGTATACATACATGCATGTGTGGGGTCATTCCGAAAACATTCATTGAGTGTTTCCTACAGGCCAGGCATTGGGCTACATTCTGGGGGTCTGATAGTGAACAAGACAAACACTGGCCTATTTCTTATGGAGCTGAAATTTTACACAGACAAGTCGTGTTGAAAAGTAAAACTACACACTGTGAGGGGTATCCTGATGGGGGCGCCAGAGGCAGAATGATGTCCTTTAGAACAGGAGTAGTTGGTAAGACCTCTCTGAGAAGGTGAAAGTCAAGTTGAATACACAAGTCAGACTCTGAGTGTTTGTACTTTAATTATGATCAATAATTACTTTAACTGGGCTTAAACTTTATTGTTTACACCTAAGCCTATGAACAAGGACATAGGCACAAAGGGCTAGAGCTGAGAGTGAAGCGTCTAGCTGATATGAAGTGAAAAGAGTCGCACAAGAACACCCAAAGTTACAGATAGTACCCATTTGACCTAGCCTCGATGGCTTAATAATCAGAATTCGACTTGTTGTTGTTAGGTGCCATCAAGTCAGTCCCGACTCCTAGCGACCCTATGCACAACAGAATGAAACACTGCCCGATCCTGGGCCAACCTCACAATTATTGCCACCCTTGAGCCCATTGATGCTGCCACTTTGCCAATCCATCTCGCTGGGGGTCTTCCTCTTTTTCTCTGACCCTCCACCTTACCAAACATCATATCCATCTCCAGCGACTGGTCCTTCCTGACAATATGTCCGAAGTATGAGAGACGAAGTTTGGCCATCCTGGCCTCCAAGGAGCACTCTGGCTGCACCATTCTTCCAACACAGATCTGTTGGTTCTTTTGGCAGCCCATGACACTTTCAATATTCTCCTCCAACACCATAACTCAAAAGCAGCAATTCTTCTATGGTCTTCCTTATTCACTGTCCAGCTTTTGCATGCATATGAGGCTATTGAAAATACCATGGCTTGGGTCAGGCACACCTTAGTCCTCAAACTGACATCTTTGCTCTTCAAAACTTTAAAAAGATCTTGTGCAGCAGATTTGCCTAATGCAATACATTGTTTGATTTCCTAACAGCTGCTTCCATGAGTGTTGATAGTTGATCCAAGAAGAATGAAGTCCTTGACAACTTCAATCTTTTCTCCATTGATAAGAGTGTTGTTTATTGAAGTCGACTAGAGGAAGATTAAAAAAAGAACAAAACAATTTTTGTTTTTGATAAAGGAAACTGAGGGTAAATTGCTACAATTTGATGAACTTAACCTATGGAGGTCGTAACTCTAAATACCAACAGAGAGGGAAGGAGTCTTCACATCAAGTATCAATGCTATCCCCTCTGTACACAGAGTCGATAGGGATGGGCAAGTTAGACATTGGCTACCTAAAATGAGGGGGTGATAAAGGCACGAAGTGACTGAATTACAATGTTTCAAGGGGGAGTTTAAGATTATGGAGGGTGGGAAGAAAGAGTCCCCTCTGAATAGTTTTCATCTTGTCTAGATGGGTCTGATTAAAAGAGATGGGAGTAAGATTCTTATGATGCAGTAGTGAGTAATTGTTATCAGGACTAATTGTGACTGTCAAAATTGTAAAGGTAGAAGTTTGGTAAGAAAATGGGGAGTAGTTAATCTTACAGTCCAGAAATAGAGAACCCTAGGACCACCAAGGGAGAAGAGCACAAGCGGAATGGAATGCGAGACCTTATCCAGAGAAGCAGCGACACCAGAGATGGAGGCAGAGATGGGGGCATGGAGAGAGGGAGCAGCTGAGGATTCTAGACTCATGGAAAGAGAGAGACTCATGGAAAGAGAGAGACAAGTCAGCCAGGGGGCAGACTTGCCCAATGTGCCCTTTGGTGGTGTAAATTATTATATATATGCCTGAGTGTTTAAAAAAAAAAAAAGGAGCTAAAATGAATAGAGAGAAATTCTGTTAATTGATGGTACATGGAGGGGATTATAATCATTGTAATGAAACAAGATGTATGGTTTGTTGAATGTAAAACTGATGAACTGCCTGGGAAACTTTCTAAATCCACAATAAAAATCTTTTTTTAAACAAACTTCAGAAAGGTGTGTAATAGTGTTGTATTCTTCCACTATACTTATTCAACATGTATGCTGAGCAAATAGTCTGAGAAGCTGGATTATATGAAGAAAAATGTGGCATCGGGTTCGGAGGAAAACTCATTAACAACCTGCGATTTGCAGATGATACAACCTTGCTTGCTGAAAGTGAAGAGGACTTAAAATACTTACTGATGAACATCAAAGACCACAGCCTTCAATATGGATTACGTCTCAATGTAAAGAAAACAAAAATCCTCACCACTAGACCAATAAACAACATTCTTATCAGTGGAGAAAAGATTGAAGTTGTCAAGGACTTCATTCTTCTTGGATCAACCATCAACACTCATGGAAGCAGCCGTCAAGAAATCAAACAACGTATTGCATTAAGCAAATCTGCTGTACAAGACCTTTTTAAAGTGTTGAAGAGCAAAGATGTCAACTTGAGGACTAAGGTACACCTGACCCAAGCCATGGTATTTTCAATAGCCTCATATGCATGTGAAAGCTGGACTGTGAATAAGAAAGACCATAAAGATTTACAGCCTCAGAAACCCTGTACAGGGTCGCTATGAGTTGGAACCGACTCCACAGCACATAACAACAACAACAAGTAGAAGAATGATGCTTTTGAGTTATGGTGTTGGAGGAGAATATTGAAAGTGCCATGGGCTACCAAAAGAACCAACAGATCTGTGTTGGAAGAAGTGCTGCCAGAGGGCTCCTTAGAGGCCAGGATGGCCAAACTTCGTCTCTCATACTTCAGACATATTGTCAGGAGAAGGATATCATGTTTGGTAAGGTGGAGGGTCAGAGAAAAAGAGGAAGACCCACAGTGGAATTGATTGGCAAAGTGGCAGCATCAATGGGCTCAAGTTTGGCAACAATGGTGAGGTTGGCCCAGGATTGGGCAGTGTTTCATTCTGTTGTGTATAAGGTCGCTATGAGTCGGTACTGACTTGATGGCACCTAACAACAACATGGCACTGTGGTGGGTTAATGCACTGGACTGCAAAGTTGATTTGAAATGCAAGTTTGGCAGTTCAAACTCACCAGCCACTCATCGGAAAACCTATACAACCCCCTTATGGTTCAGAACCAACTCTACAGGACACAACAACAACAATCTATAAGTCGTTTTTTCAAACGCCTACAGCAGTCCTGGTGTGGTACTATGGGTTAATCAGCGGAACTGGAATATCGATTTGAACTGCAAAGTTAGTGGTTCAAG